ACTCCTGCCTCCAGCCCATTCCCAGAAGCACAGTGATAGATACTGTCAATGCAAAGGAGAAAAATTCACTTTGCTTGTGACGAGTCCTATGACGGAGGTAAGAACAGAAAAGCCCCATTTCTTTCCTGAGAGTGGGTGGGGGAAGTAGCGAGTCAAAGAAAGGTCAGAGATAGTAAAGAGAGTAGAGATTAGAAGTTTGGGTTGCAGGTAAGAGGCTCAACTCCAATGAACTTGATTCAGCAAAAGAGGGAAGTGTGGGCTCATTACTTGGTAAGTCCAGGGGAGGAGCTGGCCTAAGACTATTTGCCCACATAGGTCTCTCATCTCCATTCTTCTCACTGTAGCTTTAGCCACTGTCAGAGAGGCATTTTTTTCATGAGACAAGGAAGACAGCAGCCCCCAATTCATTCACATCACTTCCGGTCACATGATGACCAAAAGGGCCAAGCCCCTTCTCTGTGGGTCAGCCTTAGAGGAGTCTCATGCCCAAGGAACGTCTCACCTACCACTCCCAGACCTACCCCAGGGCCAGGGCCAGGGCCCCCATCAGCCTGCAGCTTCTAGTTAGTTCCCCCTAAGGCCACACTGGTGGTGGCACATCCAATCACATCTCTGATTCCACACCATGTAGGCAGTGAAATGGAAGACGAAATTTCCAAGCAAACTACAAGGCGGGTTGCACAAAAGTTCTGAGTGTAACTTTCAGGGATCACCTTTTTTGTTCTGTTCTGTTTTGTTGTGTTCCAGGTGGTAAGGTGAGAAGCTCACAGGCGTAACTGTATTTTTCTTTTCTTACACATTTTTTTTCCCTCTGCCCTACATTCACCTTTTCTTCTGAGGGAAAGGTAAAACTACTGCTTTTAAGAGGAACAAGTATCTGTTATGGTACTTACTAACAGGACATATGTTCAAGAACCAGAAAATCTTGCCTATTCCACTTGAGGTTTTTTTTTTATTATTTTGTCCACTTCCTCCAACTCCAATGTCTTAGTATGACATCAAGTGTTACTGAGTTCTGATCTAGTCAGGCATAAAAACAGGATCCATAATCTTGTGAAATTGCTCACCCCCTCCCCCCAAAATTAAAATAAATTTAAATTTAAAAATTAAAATAAACTGATAGCTACTTAAAAAAAACACATCTGGGGATGCCTGGGGGGCTCAGTCAGTTACACATCCAACTCTTGATTTCTGTTCGGTTCATGATCTCACAGTCATGGGACCAAGCCCCACATCAGGCTCAGTGTTGATCTCAGAGCTTGCTTGGTATTCTCTCTCTCTCCCTCTTTCTCTGCCCCCTTCCCTGCTTGCGCTCTCTCTCGCTCTCGCTCTCGCTCTCAAAATAAATAAACTTAAAAAAAAAGCGCCTCAGCATTACAACCAGTTGAGCAATGTTACACACACTCGTTCACACACACACACACACACACACACACACACACACACACTCTACTACTACCACTATTTGTATGCATCTGCTTACATACACCAGGTTTCTTTAGCAATGCACCAAATTCTTAGGCTTCTCTCAGAGTCCTCAGTAAGGATTCTGGAGCTTTGTCTTCCTAAGGCAAATTTAATTCTAAAATTGCTACTTTAGCGTTTCACCAATTATGCTCTGGGTACCTTATGAATCAGAATTACACGGCGGGAATCTTGTTAAAATGCAGACAGACTCCTGTGGGCCCCTCTCCATTCCAACCAAATCAGAATCTCTCTAGGGAGGATGTTCCAAGAGTCTTTGTTTTTAAAATTTCCCAAATGATACTTCTGCACCCTAAAATGTAAGAAGCCCTGTTCCAGAATTTTGGAGAGTTATTTTTAGGATTCCTAGTTGTGCTGTCAGATACTTCTGTAGCTCTAAGGATAAACTTCTTATGAATTCCATGAACTCTAGTTTGTCAGTAAAATATAATAGCAATCCTCATGGGCCATGCTTTTTTGAAGTTCTATAACAGAATTAACTATAAGCATAGTTATAGTACACAGAATTCCTTCAGATTTAGAAATATCTACTCTGGGGTGCCTGGGTGGCTTGGTCAGTTAAGTGTCCAACTCTTGATTTTGGCTCAGTTCATGATCTCACAGGCTCCATGCTAACAGCAGGCTCCATGCTTGGGATATTCTCTCTCTTTCTCTCTCTCTCTCAGAATAAATAAACTTAACACATCTACTCTAAATAAGTCACATATTAATGAGTAGGATAGGCCAATTCCATTGTAACAAACTTTTGTGATTACGATGAACAATTCAATGTAATTTTGTTAAAATAGGTACATTACAAGAACTGACATAATTAAAATCCAACTGAAATTAATTACAGAAAAATTTTATGAAAACTCATTAAGGTTGTGAGTTTTTTTTGAAATGAACAACTTCCCCTGTTCATAAATAGGCCTTTATCTCCAATCCAAGACAAGCAATAAGAAGTCAATATACACAATCTGACTCCATCCACCACTAATACAGTAGGAGCTGTCCACAAAGTCCTTGGCATTTTAAAGCTAGAAGAGACTTGGGGTGCCTGGGTGGCTCATTTGGTTAAGCGTCCGGCTTCAGCTCAGGTCATGATCTTGTGGTTTGGGAGTTCAAGCCCCGCGTCAGGCTCTGTGCTGACAGCTCAGAGCCTGGAGACTATTTCGGATTCTGGGTCTCCCTTTCCCTGTCCCTCCCCCGCTCATGCTGTCTCTCTCCCAAAAATAAGTAAACATTAAAAAAATTTTTTTGTAATAAATAAAGCTAGAAGAGCCTTGGGGATTGTGCACTCCAACCCCCTCTCAGATGAAGAAACTGAAGACCAAATCACACTGTCAATGACAGAATAGAAAAAAAAAAAAAATCCAGATGTCCTGATGGCCCAGCCCCCAACGATACCCAAGCACAAAATCAAATGGTTCTTCAGGGGTGAGTGGAAGCAACCATTCTTTTTACATAGCAGATATGCTTTGAAGTAAAAAAAAAAAAAAAGCCACATAAGATGTAAGATTTAAAATAAATACCACTGAGGCACCTTGAGTTATTCATTCCTTCTCTCCTGTAATTCAAGCTACATGGTAGAAAGGCTTGAAAAAACCTGGTGCTATTCCAACTTCCCTACCAAAATCTGATAAATTAAAAGAGGAGAGAAGATGTGACCCCAAAGTAGTCATGAGTAATCACCTGATACCTATCCAGACTGATCCAGTGTGGTTGAGAATAAGTCAAGCAAGGCTGTTTAAGCACTTCTCGGATGATTTACTAAACATAGGCTATAGGTCTGTACTTGGGATTCATTTTTTCATTCTATTATTCAATAGATATTGACTGAGTACCTACCTACTAGGTGCTAGAATCTATGACATGTTCTAGCAATACTAAGATGAACAGACAGGGGGAAGGACAACTAAAGCTATATCATTACAATGTGTTATATTACAGACTATAGAATCAGGTGTCATGGGCACAGACTCAGGTTGTGTCAAAGAAGGTGTTACAGTGAAAATGACATTGAGCTAAGTCTTAAAGGACAAACAGGGGTTTCATTAATGGAATATGCAAAAGGAAGAGAAAATCATTCCAGGCAAATGGGTAGCATATGCAGAAGTATGAAAGAGAGGTATGAAGAGAACAAGTAAGCAGTTGGAGAGAGGGGTCCAAAAAAGAAAGTATTATAGACATTAGCTTTGTTTTTTGTGCCATCTAGCACAACATGGAAAAAGCCAATTTTTTTTAAATAATAATTTTTAAAAATCTACCTTCCTTGGGCCAAAAACTCACAAGAGACTGCATACTGGTGACTGAGACATCTGACCTTGAGAGCTGGTTTCAAACAAGAAAGAAGGATATCTGTTCTTTCTTTTCCTGTCTCTAGAGTCTTAGACACTTTCCAGGCTCTCAAAGTCCACCTCTTCCAGAAAGACTTCCAGGATTTCCAGAGTCTAAACAGAGTCATTGTAAGGCAGGGCACGGGAGGAGGGGGGGGAGACAGGGGAGGGGGGAGTGTTTTAATGATGAAATTAAATAAGGGAAATTATGCATTCCCATAGTTAACCGTAAAATTGTCTCCTTTCTAAATCCTTGGTATGCAGATCATACAGTAATTTTTTGCACTGGTAAAAGAAAGTGGGTGATAGACCTAAGTTCAAACAAATTGCCACTACTTAATAACTGTGTGACTTTGGGGAAGTCGCATAACATCATTTTTCTGGTTGCAAACATCCTGCTAGTTTGTTGTGAAGCTTAGACATGACTTGAGGGAGGGCACCTGTCACAGGGTCTACCCTGTAAGGGGCCTTTCCGTGGGGCAGTCACTGCACATTATCATAGCATTTTCATTCATTCAACAAATCTTCATTAGAGACTTAACATGTAGAAGCCAGGAACAGACAAATAAATCTGAACTGGATTTTGTTCTCTAGGATGTCACAATCTATAGTGGATATATAGATATAGAACGGGCTCAAATAACTATAAGGAAGAAAGTGCTTACTACCAAGAAAAATACAAAGAAATTGCTTGGTAAGTTGAGAGGTCAGAAATTACTTGTGTGGAGAGAGCTGGTGGGGGAGAAGGGAAAACAATTTGGGGCTGAGAAGGAAGAAGCATCTGGGCAGAGCAAAGTATCCATCTGCCCCTTTCACAGATGAAATAAGAGAGGTTCCTGGAAGTGACAACATTCACCCAACTTCACACTCCGTTACAGCAGAGTCAGGGTGAGGACTCAGAGCTCCCTACCCCTCGTCCAAAGCAGTCACCATTACCACACTACTTCCTATAATTGGGCCATTCGCAGATGTAGAGGACAAGGCCGAGCAGGGAAAGCAGCAGGGAAAGGAGGGGATGGGGTCGCAGGCCACTACCCCCAGGTTGAGGCAGAGCACAGTCTCAGCAGTGGAGGGCGGGCGGGCACGGGAGAAGGGGGAGGGCAGGCCAAGGGGCGGGGAGAGGGGCGCGGGCGGCACTCCGGGGCTGGTCAGGGCACCCGCCCAGCCGCAACAGCCCGCGCTCAGGCTCCGCCGGCCATGGGGCGGCGGTTCCACGCGCTGCGGCCGCTGCTGGCGCCGCTGTTGCTGCCGCTGCTGCTGCCGCCGCGGGCGCTTCCCCGGGCGCACTGCCCCGAGCCCTGCAGCTGCCCGCCAGACGGCGCCCTGCGCTGCCCCGGCCCACGGGCCGGCCTCACCCTACTGTGAGTACGCGGCGCCCCGCTACGGGACCCTCGCTCGCTCCTCGCTCCGGGCCACTCTGCTTCCCTACTCTTTGGCTCCTTTAACCTGGAAGCTTGGAAAAAAAGGCTGCCCCCTGTCAAACTCCACCACCTTTTAGAGTGATGAGAATGCAAAGCTTGGGGACTGTCTCTGCCATCCCGTGCCAAGCCGCGCCTTGGGTTAGGGCCCCTCCTGCTGGCACCCCCTGCAGCCCCTGGCGGCCCCAGGGCCGTGATTTCCCCCACTGGGTCTGCGGCAAGGGGCGTGGAATTGCCCAGAAGCCACAAGGGAAGGCCTGCTCCCTGCCACTGCTTGGAAGTCGAAAGTGGCCTTGACCTTTGTGCTAGCCAGGTCGATGAAGGTTACTGTGACCTCTGACACCCTGTGCTCCACTAGGAATGGGGTGGTCAGGCCCTACGGCAAGGGGTGACCTGGTCACTCGACTGGGATTGCTGGTTCGCCCGCCGCCTCCCTAGTGTACCGCTTAGTAGGCATACGAGTCACGGCCCTACCCTTTCTCAGACGTACTTGCATTTCAATCTGCTGGTCTGATCAAGGTGTGCCTTACGTCACGCCTCCCACACGCCACCCGGCCCTCCACGTTTACAGAGCGGGTTACAAAGCAGGTTAAAAGAACTGCATACATCAGCAAGTAGGGGCAGGAAGAGGTTCGCTGAAGTGATGGGGTGAAGAGAGGAGGGGCCTTCTGTACTAGTGTATCAGAGTGTCCCCTGTCTCCTTTCTTCGATTTAGAAAAAGTACCACACATTATATGATTCTATTATATGAAATGTCCAGACCAACAGAAAGCAGATTAACAGCTGCCAGGTAGGGGTGAAGGCCCAGTGACTGCTAATGGCTGTGGCTTCTGGGGGTAACAAAAATTATTTAAAATTAGATTGTGGTGATAATTGCACAACTCCTCCCTAGACATACTAAAAACCATTGCACTGTATACTTTAAATGGGTGAATATTATAGTATATAAATTATATCTCAATAAAGTTGTTAAAAGAAAAAAAGGAAAGAAGAGTACTATAAAAGTAGGTTTTGGTTATGTCCTAACCATTGGCAGTGATGGAATCTCATTCTTGGGGAAGAAAGAGGCAACCCCCCCTCCCCACTTCCATGGGCTGAAACAGTCTGTCAGGGATCCCTCCCTCCCTTCTGAGGGGCTGAGCCTCTCCCCTGAAAGAGTTAGTGGCCTACAGGGAATGTTTGCAGCTGAGAGATACAGTTTAAAGGCTGAGGGGTTTATATTAATTAGTTTCCATTAATTATCTTGTCAGCTCAATTCCCTGAAGGTGAGGACCATGCTGAAAGAATTTGTTTCAATCAATCAACAGATTCATGGAAGCTGCCTTCCTAGTCCCAGCCCTTGTCCTTCCCTGACAAACCTCCCTTCTTGCTCTTATGAATGATGGTGCCACTAACAGCCTTTCTCACTCGCTCAGTACTTATCATAGAGATTTCAAGAAACTGAGATCCAAAGACATGGAATAACTTGGCCATGGTCCCCTTTTGCTATTGAGTAGCAAAGACAGGACTTCATCTGTTAATTGTGTTTTTATATTTGCTTGTCTTTGTATTTAGGAAATTACCTTTTCCTAAATACACACACACACACACACACATACATGTAAATGTACACACATACACATACATACATATATACATATATACATTCCCAGGTCCTCTCAGATTCAGCTCTTCACTGAGCTCTCTCAACAATTCCTGCTGCCAAATCATGTTGGCCTCAGGAGACTACCTCTTCCCTGGAGAAAGCTGAAGTGGAAAGTACAAAACAAAACAAATTCTCCCACTGCCCCATAGCACAGTTTAGAGAAGCCTAGAACCCCTCAAAAAGATTTTAGGGGTTTGGGGGTAGAGGTGGGAGGCAAGCACAATAGAAGAAATGCTAGCATGCTGAAGCTGGCTAGTCCCACTCCCAAAAAGGAGCTAGTCGTCCAGGCTCTGACACCTTTGGCCATCCCTGAGGGATTCTGGAGAATCCTCAACTTCCTCCCTTCACATGCACTATCTTGGCATCCACACCAAGAGCATCTTCTAGACATTTAGACATGTAAGGTTGGCAAGCATGCTGACCCTCACAAGGTAAGGCTTCCTGAGAATCAGTTAATTGAGAGATGACCTCCTCCTTTAGGTGAGAACCCTATGGGCACAATAAGGTGACCTCAACATCCATGTGCCAAGAGAAATACATAAGAAGGGATAGGAAGATAGTCACTTTAAGGCAGTGTTACTCAAAGTGTGGTCCTAGGCCAGCAGCGTTAGCATCACCTGGGATATTAGACATGCATACTCTTGGGCCCCATCCCCAATCTACTGCATCAGAAGCTGTGAGGATGTAGTGCAACAGCTGGTGTTTTAACAAGATCCCCAAGTGGTCTGGTGCATGCAAACATTTGAGAACCAAGATATTGCTCTCCATGAAGGATATAATCTTGTAGAAAGCAAAAGTGTGTTTTAAACTTCCTGTGCCATATACTTCCCCTCTCCATATGCCTCCTCACACACATACATACACAAAATACCTATTTATTGCAAAAGGCACCTATGATCAAATTAAAGCCCCAAACTCTGCTACATATGGAAAATATACAGGATTGAGAAAAAGTTTTGTTTTTGTCTTCAAAGAGGAATAAGGGAAGGAATCCATGGAGAAGGACAGACTGAAGACATAAGGGAGGGGGAAGAATGATATTTGGTGAAGTAAGGTCTCAGTGAGGGTGGGAGGACAGTGTCAGTCTCAGATCATAGAAGAAGGGTTAATCCTAGGGAGAGGGATACTTCTGAGTCCTAGGGAAGAAGACAAATGGATAAAGGTGTAACTTAACATTGAGGCAGAAGACAGGAAAAGTGAACAGCATCATACTGAAATCCTCTTGATGATGAATGAATGAAATGGTAAACACTAATCACAAGATAGAAAAAAAATGCTATGGATAACAAATTATCAGGAGTTCATAAAGAGGAGAGAGCTGAAATTATGAAATAAGGCACCCAGAGAGATGTGGTCTTGCATGAAGTCATGCACAGGGTCTGACTCTGAAGAAAGAAGGGGAGCACTCATGTTTCTGGGGGTTGGAGGAGACAAGTACAGCACAGCATTTTAGACTTCATCATTGGCCCCTCAGTAGATGCTAATTTACATTTTAATCATTCCAGGCCTTGGTAGTCCTGCCTTGTAAGATTTCATGTAAAGTCCACTATTTGGTTTCAACAAGGGGGAAAAAAAGGAACATGGAGTGTAATTGTTTGTCATTGACAAGCCCACTGTTTGCACATTTTGAAAATGGCACAGTTCCATCATTCATATCTTTCTATACTTTCCATGTTTTTTTAAAAACTGAGGTATTTAAAAACTAAAATGTGATACAAAAAATAGCCTCCCACATGCTCACTCATTTTAATTGAGGGGAAAAAGGTAAAAGAAAAAAATTGATTTAAAACATTTCCTTTTCCTTGTCTTATTAGTTCCAGACAAGTGGAAGAAGAGGGGGAAAAAAATTCTCACCTTGCCCATGGTTATATAAAGATCTTTGTCTCTATGACAACAGAAAGGTTGATCTTCTTGATATGGAAACAGCTTCTAAAAAATCTGTTAGTAAGAAAATGCTAATAATAATAATGGGAATTTATTTTTTGCATGTTGTGCCTACTGAACAGAGATTAAACTTTAAGCTTTATTATAAGACACAGGCCAGAGACTTTGAAAAGATAAAATGTGCTGTATCTATCAATCCAGTGTTACAGGAAGATATTAGTCTCCTGACATTGTTCCTGAATGTCCTTCTCCCTCTCCCACCTTCAGTGAAAATCAGGGTCCAGGACAGTGTTCAATGATGCAGAGGAATTAACAGGAGGAGGGCATGGCCCCAGTCCTTGAGAAACCCACAATCTAGGTAGAAACACATGCAAGAGACCACTGTGGGCAGGGAAAGAGGCAACAAGGGTCTAGGAATTCAGGACGCAGAGCAATTACTAAGGACTGAAATGTGTAAGGGAAGGTACCATGGGCAAATGGTTATGGGGCTGAACCTTTAAGGAAAGATAAGAAGAAGAGTCTTGGTGGAAGAAACACAGATTAGAATAGATTCAGATTCCTGGCTGGGTAGAAAAGAATAAAGTTGAATGGATCCTTCCTTGTTGAAGCTGCTCCCAGGCTTTAGGGGAAATTTTTTTTTTTAAGGGAACACATACAAGTCATCAGAAATACTTACATTACCTAGAGGGTTGTGCAAAAAGAAAAAAAAAATCCCAGTGTATAATTCTTGACTGATAGATTTCCCACCAGAATCATTCTTGGACAGCTGATTACAAAGGCATTCAATAAAAATCATGACTTGGAGTCACTTCCCCATGAAGCTCTCCCCAGCGTCTCCCACTCCCATACACACATCATTTGATACGCTGTACTGACCTATATTTTTGCATACACCCTGCCATAAGGTAACCATTTATTCAAAATAAACCTCTTCGGCCAGAGCAGATATCTCAACCACAGCACACTTGACATCTGGGGCGAAATAATTACATGTTGTGGAGGGCTGTCGTGTACCCTACGGGATGCTTAGCAGCAGCCCTGGCCTCCACCCACTAGATGCCAGTAGCACTGCCCTCCCAAATTATGACCACCAAAAATGACTCTAGACATTTGCCAAATGCTCCTATGGGAGCAAAATCCACCCCCCACCCTTGGTTTTGAATCACTGTGCTAAAGTGAGAACCACTTGAAGAGGTCTTATTCAACTGGGGAATCCCCAAATTTCATGGGTATTATGGTCAAAGTGTTTCTTGAACTACTATGATATCAAACTGAGCAGACAGCTGAATAGGAACAATGAACCAATGCAAAAAAAAAAAAAAAATGTGTATTAGTTGGGATGTACCGCATCTAAATGTCATTTGAAAAATCTCCATCCTAGAGGATGGGGAGGTGAGGAGGTGCTATGGGTAGC